GTGCCTTGCTGATGGATGGCCAGGCCGGGAGCAGTGGCCGCGCTTGTCTGGAACGTGGTGCCCCAGACGTGAGTCTTGCTGGCAAGGGGATTTATTGAGCACCACGGCTGGCCTGGACATTCCTCCTTGCCCACCATGCGGTAATTACAGACACAGCCGAGGTGAAATGTTCACTCCCTGTGCGGCTGGTAGCGCACGCTGTGCTGCAGTGCTGCTTGCCAGCTGGCCAGGAACAGCTGGAATGCTGCCCAGGAAACAGGATCGCTGCCCAAGTGGGTTAGGAGGCAGTCTCTAAGAACAAGATGCGGCATGAGCCCGGGGTCAGGAAAAAATCTATCAGAAATCTATAACTCAGTCCTTAATAAATAATCCTGTGAGTTCTGGCAAATGCATATGGGACTTCTTGGTTTGGGTTCACTCTAGATGTTCCTGTAATGCCCAGGGGGTTGCAATTTATGGCACAGCTGCCAACTTCTGGAGGTGATGTGGGCCTCCAGCTGGTGGGGCTTGCTCCACTCTCAAACTCTGGCTAGCTTGTGTTCCAGCAGCCTGGAGCCCAGCTCGTGTATTTACAGGTGCAAAGATTAAAGATTTATCTGGAGCATTATATGGGTTGTCTTGTGCCGGGTCCCTCTCTAAGCCCATCATGTTAGTGCATGCAACAGGAGCTGGCAAAGTCCATGCTAGAAGTCCATGATAGACCTGGAAGATGAATTAGCAAAACCCTTTCACTAAGTGGTGAGCCTAGGAGAGCATTCCCAGCTGTGTCTCCTTCATGATTTGAATATTCTGATGGTACCTGTGGTTTTATCCCACTGCTCTCAGTCTGCGATGTCTTCATCTCTTCAGCAGGCACTTTGACTTTTCCATACCCCTCCTTTAAGGATCAGCATGGTTCACAGGGAGATTCATCATTTACAAGGAACTAGTCCTAATTAATGACAAGGATTACCTGGAAGTCCTTCAGGATTCACCTCAGTCTTAAACAATGAGTGAGACCAAGAGAACAGCTCTTGTGGGAGCTGCTCGTCCCCAGTGCCCTCCTGGAGTTCTCCCCTTTCCATGCAGGCACCTGCTGTTGGTCACGGAGAGACCCTGGCTCTGCTCCAGCTTTGCCTTTCTGGCACACTCGGCCTGATTAAGTGTGAAATTTTGGCCCTCTTGGAGCCCATGGGCTGGTGTGTGTCTCCTGTGCAGGCGCAGTGATTTCTCTCTTCTTCCCCTCAATGATCATTAAAAGGAGGTTTTGCCGGCGCTCCTGCTGCCTCCAGCGAACGCGTGTGCTCCTTGGCTCCCGGCAAGGTGCTCTCTGCGGATCGCGTGTGCTTTGGCAGACAGGCCAGTCTGGGCTGCAGGATATTACGCCTGGCAGGGACGCAAACCCCGTCCAGTTCCTGGAATTCAGATTGTCTCGCGGAGCGCTGATTAAGCAGCGCTTTCAATCTGCACCCAGGACAAAAGCATCTCCCTGCCTCCGAGCAGGAGCCTTTCAAGCTTGGCTCCCTTTACGGCAGCGGGAACCACAGCAGGTTTGCACTCTCCAAACTCTTCAGTCTAACATTCATCAAATTGGGAAAAAAAAAAGCTGTTTTCTCAAATGCAAAACTGCACAGTTCACCCTGCTGGGGGAGCATTGACTTCTCAGGGCTGTCTCTTCTGTGCAATAATAAATCATTTTTTAAAATTCCCCATAATACAGCCCCAAAGCCCTTCCTACCCTGGTGTGCACTCTGCATTGAGGTCAGACATGGAGGTAAATACCTGGCAGCTGCTCGTCCTGCTCTGCCCAGGACAAGACCCCAGTGAGCGCAGCAGAGGATGTGGAGCTTGCGGCTTTGCGCCCAGCTGCAGCCGTTGCTCCGGCCCCTCTGCCGCTTGCTGGGACCGGAATGTCTTTACAGTAATGAGGGCTTGGATAGATGAGAGTCAGTTTCTCTTAATTTACAGTAAATGCTGTTTTCTCATTCCTTGCAGCGTGGCAGGCAGCCCTGCACGCTGCCGACGTGGGGCCAGGAGCAGCGCGGCCCATGCTACACAGAGCGCGTTGGTGGCCACCAGCTGCCCGGCCCGGGCCCGTTCCAAAGGCTGGTGTTTGTGGAAGGAGATGGGGGAAGCCCAGACTCGGCTGGGCTCAGCGCTCCGCCGAGCTCCTGTGCTGGGGAAGGAAGCACAAACCAGCATGAAGCAAAGCGGCCCTTTGCCCCAGCGGCTTGCGGGGCACATGCGGGTCTCACATGTCCAGGTGGCACTTCCAGGCAATGGCGATGGTGGGAGCAGCCATCCCGGGACACGTTGGGAGGGACTTCAGGGACCCCCCTGAGGAGTCACAGTCTTCTGTGCAGGCAGCAGCTTGTCGGGGCCACCCCCCGCGCCGCCGGAGCCATCTCCCCTGATGTTCACCCCGAGGACACACTCACAGGAAGGGTTTTGCTGTCTCCTCTTTGGCATGATCATTATTCCAGCCGCTGGGACTGGGGTGGATGGAAATATCCCTCTGCCACATGTCTCCAGCCATTCCCTGGGGCCACTAGCAGCTTGATCCACTTTATGGGAGAGTTGATTCCAGGAAAGCTTGAGCACTGGCAACAATATGCTCAGGGGAATATTCCAGCCAAGTCCTGCAGCGGGACATAGAGGCTGTATTGATGTAACACCTCAGCTCATGGTCGGGGTGTTATTTCTGCTCCATGCTTGGACCGAGCCCTCCCGGTGCTCCTGTTTGCGCTGCAGGTCTGGTGGAGTTGCTGATTTTCTTCGCTCAGACTCAGTTATTGGTCATCTTCTGCTCTTGCTGTAGAAGACTTTGGCTTAGCCATAAACCTCATCCTTACCCCGGGAGACCCCCCCCAGAACCACCCTCCCCAGGTCTACCTGTGAGCGCGAGGAGCCGTGACGGGCTGCTGCCATGGTGCTGCCTTCTGCTGCTGCGGGGTAGCTTCTCGTCCCTTCCTCCCCACGGGACACAAGAAAAGCTTCTTCACGCCATGGCTTTGCCATGACACTGGTGCTCCTGGTGTGCAGGATGGGCATGCCTTCTGGGGAGGTGCCAAGCATCGTTCGTGGCAGGGACACGGTGCTGCTGCAGACGTCCTAGGGTCCTAGGGACCAGCCAATGGTTCCTGCAGCCTCCTCACCTGTGGTGCTGGGCACCAGCTTTCTGCTCTGGTCTCAGCTTCAGCGCCTCAGTCTCAGTGTCTTTGCTGAGCTCAGGGAAGGGAGTTTGTCCTCAGAGTCGCCCAAAGAGCCAAACTCTCATCTCACAAGGGCTGCGCACAGTGGGAGGCAGAGGTGATGTGATGGGCATTGCAAGCAGCCCTCCAGCCTGCCAGCCCTGCATTTTTGTGCCCTGTAAACACTCAGCCAGTCCCCGGGCATCAGGACTGCTCAGGATGTAATAGGAAAATACACTTGATGCTGCAGGACTGTCTACAGCCTTCAGATTTGCGCAGCGATTTCCTCCCTGGGAGACGAGACCTGACATCTGCTAGGCTGCCCTGGGGAGCACCGGGGCTCTGCAGAGACGGGGCTGTTGTCCCCTCGTGCACTGCCCCGGCAGGTCTGGGGATGGAGCAGAGCCCAACGGGGCTGCAGTGAGTCCTGCTCCATGGGAAACCCACGGGCAGCAGCAGCCAGCCCAGGCACACGGCTGCACTGCTGACAGGGAGCGCTGCTGGCCCAGGGACACTGTGAGACACCTGGGGGACCTCACTGGGTCCTCTCCTGGCCACCCAAGGGGAGGCAGATCCCTGCTACCTGCTCCAGCTTGCCCCAAACCAGGGTTTGCACCTGGCCAGCACCACAGCTGCCTTCTTGGGGCGACATTCTCCCTGCGTGCCCCTCTCCCAGCCCTTAGCAAGAGCCCACGGCGGGTGTGCAAAGCGGGAAGACGCCTCGGGCCCCATCATCTCCCCCACGCAATCCCTGGCAGCCCCGCGCCGGCAGCGGAGCAGCCCCTGCCCCATGAGCAGCCGCAGCCCAAGGAGCAGCCGCAGCCCCCAGGGCTGCCCCACGTGGGCCCCACGGCGCCGGGGGCCGCGCCGGGCACCTCCGCGCACTCCCCGCACACGTGCAGGGCTATAAACCGCCCCGGCAAGTGCCTGTGGACTTGAGGCCGTTCCCTGGGGGGGAAGAGTTAAGATGCAGATTTTGCGTCAGATGCTCTCGAGGGCTCGCAGCGCTCAGCGAGGTTAAATCGCGCCACCACATGTGCCCGAGCAGGTTGTTTGCAAAGGTCAGCCCGCCAGGCTGCCGCAGCGAGCGCAGCGCCGCTGTTCTTGGCTCGCTCCACGAGGTATGTAGGCTGGGAAACATCCCCTCGGCTTCGCCGAGACGGGCTCTCACTGCTGCTGCGGAAGGTGCATCGGCTCAGAGATGATGAGACTAGGATTTTTTTTCTATTTTATTTTTTTAATGATCTTTTTTTGCAGTGGTTTATTTTTCTAAAGCTGCTTTGAGCTTTCTTCGATGTCCTTTTAAAACCTGCTGTTCATTTCTTTATCTGTGCAAGAATCCTGCTTGTTCTGTGCAAGATTCCCATTGGGATTTACTCAATGTCCCCAAAGCCTGTGAAATCACAGGGCAGGCAGCTGCTGTGAGGGTCTCAGCAGGTTCCTCATTAGCCACCGGCTGGCAAAAATCAGCAAGAAGGGGGAAGATTTTGCACTGAAATTAAGAAAAAAGGAAACAAGAAGAAAATTTTCTCCAACGTCTCCCTGCTGGTTCCAGTGAAGTTACTGTGATAAATGAGCAGGGATCACAGGTTATTAAATGGATTCAGTCTTAATATTTATTCTAAAAAGAAAAAAAAATCATTTTTTTTTTGCATCCTATTTGGGGAAGTGGATTTTACATGTGAAATGCAGAAATAAACAGCGTGTCTTGTTTGTTGGGGTGTTTTTTTCCTCTCTTTTAGACCCGAACGCCAGGAGCAAGACACGGAGACCCGCCTGCCCCCTGAGTCTGTGTTGGAGCTGCGAGCAGCTGGGGGCAGCGGGGCCGCGATGACGCTGCTGCACTGGCCCCTCTGCGTCAGCGCCCTGGCGTGCTGGCTGGCGCGGGGCTCCGGCGCGCTGGTGCTGCCCAACACCACGGCGCTGCTCCTGCGGCCGCCCCGCGCCACCGCCCCCGGCCTCCCGCTGGGCATCGGGCTGCCCCGCGGCCGGCGCCGCCGCTACATCTCCCCCCGCCATGTGAGCGCGCT